ATTTTTTAATTTACGATTATTCATATCGTAAAGATACATTTATGAGTTATTTATTCAATTTATATGTTACTTACGACAAATGTTGCAACAACACTCTTACTGTTATTTTAATAAACTAATATAAAACGGCTGTTTTTGTGCTCTGTAAATCTAGTGTTAATTGAAATCTCGGTTTCGACGTTTCCGATGTACGGTGATTTCTCCCTAATTCGCGTTCAGATCGCGCACGAAAATACGTCACAATCTGAGCATGAATTAGGGAGAATTTATTGTAATTGTAATACTTTTGGTAATTTGGAATACCGAAGTTAGTTCCAAATATAGTAAATTAATTCTTCCTAATTGACGCTCAGATTGCGCACAAAAATGAACCATTTCGGATGAGGAAATTCGATTGTTCGAGCCTTGCGTCTCGTTTTTATGGTTGTCGACGATCGGTAATTATAAAAACGAGCCGCAAGGCTCGAATAATCGTATCTTTTCTTCCCAAATTGTCCATTTTTGTGCGCAATCTGAACGCGAATTAAGGAGTTCCGCGTATATGTATACAGTCAGGGACAAATATATATATGTGGATACCTTTTTTAAAACAATATAACTTCTTTAAAACTAGGCTAAATGACTCCTATTTTTTTTAGAGGACAAAAGGCCAAGCCTATTACACAACGATTATAATACCTTTTTTCAGATTTTGCTATTACTTGGAATTACAAAGAGGATAAAAACCGCATGTTTTTTAATTTCTTTTATCTGATCCCATAACAAAAATTTTAAAATATCTTTCGTAAATATGTTACGCACATATATACGTGCTGAAAGTTTCATCGAAATCGATTAACGCAGAGTCAAGCTGCGGGCGTTGACAAGATTAAAAAACAAAAATACAGATTCCTAACAAATATCGTTCGAAAGTGTACGAAATCGAGACATAACCGCGATTTTCGCGATCTTTAATTGTTCGCAACTCGTAACAACGGCAATCACATAGATTACGTGTCCCTGTATTGTATTTGTCCCTGACTGTTGTCCCAGCTAGTCCATTTTACTATTTTCTTTTATTTCGTTAAAAGTTCGGTGCTCCGATCTTTAACGCTACGGTTATATTCGGTGTTCAATGGAGCAACAATTAATGTATACCCTCGTGAGAAAGTCATTTCATTTTCTGTATCGGCGTCTTCGCTGATCTATATATTGTTTTTGTAGACGAGCAGAATGGACATTTGCATAGAATGTTTAGATTTGATACTGTATCGGAAAACGCAAACGATGCGAATGGCGATCGGCTACTGGATAACGGAAAGCCGCAAGAGAACCTTCATGAGCGTACTTCTTCCGGTTCTCGGATGTGCTTTGTGGTTGCCAGTGTCGCTCGTTTTCACGGATCATGCACATTGAAATCATATCTGTTTCATTTTATGCGTTTTCGAGTGCATTTCCAAACAGGTCCGCCTGCATTAATTACGAACGTATCTGAGACGTTGACTGAGAATTGTTATTGGAAGGTAACCGTGCACATTTCTTCGTGCTTTTTAGTTCTATTTTCATTGAGATTATTTATATTATTGAATAGATAGTTTAGTTAATTTTAGACAAGTTTAAGTTGGTTTTAGTCAAATTTACTTATTCAAAACTTTATATCTAACTTTATACATCTATTCAAAACTAATCATTGGAATAGAAAAATCAACGCGAGAAAGTTAATTCAAGAATTTGACGGTTAAGAATTAAACAAAAAAATCTATTATATTTATTACGAATTATACAGAACACAAATATGCGAATAATTAGTATACCGAATGTGGCAACTTAAATAATACATAATTACGTAGGATATTTTTAGGAAATGGATATCTAGTCCATTTTCAAAAAAATTGTTTATATCATTTATAAAAGGTTTATACAGAGATATCGTATCTAATAAGATGGTTCAACTGAGTAAAGGTTACACGGGGCTAGAATAAGTTAATGTTATATGTTGTTCATCACGAAGTATGTACATCGTTATTTAGTATATCCCGTTAAGCCGCTATTACGAGGCATGCACTATGCAACCAATACAAATGTCGATCGTATTAAGTACTCTTATCCATGTGAGACAGGCTGTTCGAAGTCCTAAAAAGACGGCGTGACGAAGAATTACAAATGTACGACGAGTTCTATTGTCGCCGATTTATTATACAATACGACGCTCTGACAATGGTCGGCAGTATATCCATGAGGCAAGCTGGAGGTCTGTGGACTTTGTGTTCAACGTGTTAAATTTAGAACGTCTGCTTTGATCGTCGTTTAACGTATACAATCGTTTTAGAATATTCATGCGGAAAATAATTATCCTGCACTTGATCCTAAAATTTTGTTATTAAATACTAATATAATAGCACCGAACAGCTCTCTTGTCTTCACCGGTTTTCACATTTTTTAATTAGGAAACACAACGTAAGCAGCTGTCTCGGTCAACCAAAAAAGAATAGTCGCGGTAACTTTATCTTAATTAAAAATATTCTCTTAATAATAGCGAGACGTCTCATCTTACGCTAGGCAACAGCAGGTATCTCGGATATCCTTGGGTATTTTCAACCTAATTTTGGCCTCGTCCTTTAAAGTCTTTGAAATAGAACAATCGTTATGAACAGATTATAAAAAAAATGTCTTTTCATCATTTTGTCCATCCTGTATATTGATTACTCCTGCGAACATTATTAAATACCCTTGAAAAGAGAAGACAACGGTGACAAACTTGAACAATGAACGAGTCGAAAGAGAAATGAATTTATAATTTTCATCAACACTGCGTACAAAAATTATATCGTATTAAATCCGGCATTCTGAATTTCACATTCCCGACGCAACATGTGCCATTAGCGATTTTAAAAATTATTGTCTAGAAAGATGCAACATTCGAGTAAGACAAAAAGGGTCACCTATCAGGCCGTTAAACGACGTGTTAAAAAAAAACACTGCTCTGCCATCGATAAATTCCTACCAACAAGGACCACCGGCAGAGTTAGAAATCACTCCTTGAAAAAGAACATCCAAATCTTGTAGTATGTGTTTAGTATACTGAAAAGCCTTGATAGCTTATTTTAAAATTGGCTTTCGTTTCTGAGGAAAAATGAACTTGAAGTTTTGCCTCACAGTTGACGGGTAAAACAACAGTAACACCACGTTATTAAAATATGAAGTGCTTTTTAACTACTTACTATGAGTAGATAAATAAATTGATAGCCAATTAACTTATGGGAAGAAACTCATAAAATCGTAAACAATTTTATGTGTTTCTTTTTTTTTAATAAAGGTGAACTTTTGCTTCAAGTACTCATCATTTCTGTGCATCGTCGATATTTCAAAAATGCTTTATATGCTTCTGCAAACATTTTAATGCAGATTAAGAAAAAAACAGACTGATTCTTTGTTCTACAAAAATATTTACGACACTTATACTGTGAGCCTTAGAAAAATACATGCTGCATATAGACTGCTTAGTCAGCTGCTATTTTGAATCGGAGAAATAAACAAGAATTTTATTTGCATTCTTCAAATCATGCATAAGAAAGTCCTAGAAGCGAATACCTCGTTTATTTATTCATCTAGTGGTAAATATTGATCTAGCCGCTGTTGCGTTCGTACCTCTTAACTTGGAAGCAAAACTTTAAATTTATTTTACTCGTTTCACTCGTACTGCCTGTGCACTTTTCGTGGCAGTAAGACCTAATTCTATGATTCCACCACGATCTTCGCGATCTTGATTGAATTATTATACTTTGCACGCATACAAAAATTCATCCAGAAGCAAACAAATGGAAACAGTAATGAAGTGACATGTTCAAGTAAATAAATAAATCCCGCAGTAATTTGTTTTTATGAATATATGCGCTCGCAATAGCAATCTAATGCAGAAAAAAAGAACAGAAAACGTTTGCATTCTTTGAAAACAGGATACCGTCAAATAATTTCCAACAGATCATACGGTGGCCCACAAAAGTATTCTTACACCTTTTAAAACGTAACAACTACTTTAAAACTGAACTAAACGATTTTATTGTTTTTTTTTAATGATAAAAGGACTACATAGTCTACTAGATGATGGCTAAAAAACTTTTTTTTAATTTTGCTATTACTTGGAATGAAAAGAAAAAATTGACTTTTTACCCCTCTAACTGTTTTGAGTGTTTTCAACGTTTTTTAACTTTTTTATTTGAGCCTGTAACGAAAATTTAAAAAATTCCTTTCGATCGGTGAACCCAGCGTCGAGCTACAGGCGTTGAAGGATTGAAAAAACTGCACACTTTTTACAGTTTTTGGTCAAACTCGCGATAAAACTGCGATTTTTGCCATTTTTAATTTGTTGTAACTGATAACAACGTGAACCGATTTTGATAAAATTGTCAACGTGCATATAAGTTACCGAGATTTCCGAAAGACATTTTCCAAAATTTTTGTTATAAGTTAAGACAATTACGAGATATTTTTACTTTTTATCATTCCAACTAATAGCAAAATCAGAAAAGAAAAAATCATTTCAGTGATCGTGTCTAGTGGACTACTCCCTCTATCACCTAAAGAAAAATTCAAGTCATTCAGTTCGGTATTAAAATAATCATTGCGTTCTAAAAGGTGTACGAACACATTTACGGGCGATCGTGTATCACCCTAGAATTTCATTCGAAATCGGCGGGCCACACTTGTCTGTATTCCCATGTAAAGTCTAATGCGCGTTCCATTCCCCCTAATTCCGTGTCGGTTAGCGTCGCACTCGCCACTCGCCGGAGCACCATAAAGTTCCCGCAATTAATGGGTCACCGCGGAAGACCTTTCCATTCGCCGCTTTAGCGGATTCCGTCTAAACGTTACCAGGGACTAAGAAGCCCTGGGTGCCGCTCATTAAGACCGAGCCCGACTTCGTTTCATTAAAACCGAGCGCGGTCGGTCGCCGGAATTTTTCCTCGTTAGCCAGTCGCCACTAAAGCCGGTGCCGCGTGTGTTTCCTGTTTCCCATGAAGCCCGGAGGAGCAGCGAGGCGAAGGTGCGAGCCCGAGGCAGCCGGATAAGAAAATCGAGGAAGAGGTCGAGCATCCTTCGAGGTGGATCTTCGAGCCGGTCGAGGGCCAGAGGCTAGACGAGGAAGCGGAGAAGGATCGGTCTGATTCGGGCCGGCGAGCGCAGCCCCGGGATTATGACAGGACCCTCTGGCAACTTAAACGACCGCTGCTGGAGGAAGTCGCGGCGAAGCCCGAGGAGGACACTCTAATAAGCAAGGAGCACTCGCTCGAGTACCAGAGTCAGACACTCGAGAGTCAGTCGGATCATCTGTTGCACGGCCCTCTCTCGACCTCGTTCGAGGACCTGCTGCGGACAGCACCGCCGGACAGCAGCTGGCCTCCGTTGCTAGGCAAAGCCGTCGAAGAGGTCGAGTTCAGCTTCAAGGAGACCCAGTACTCTCCGAAAGAGAAGCAGGACGCCGCAACACAGACCGAGCAAGAGACCAAGAGCACGCAGTGCAGCCCCGAGCAGAGCGGCAGCCCGTCGGAGATCTCGAAAGACAGCCCCCTGCGCAGGTACTACCAGAGCCCTAGAAGAGAGGTCGAGACCCAGACCCAAGGCGACAACAAGAGCGTCCAGTGCTGCTTGGACGAACTAGGCAGCTTGTCGAAGACTTTGGAGTTGGAGGACAGCTTCGACAGCCCGTCCAGGTCCGAGAAGAGCCAGGTCAAGGAGTCGAAGAGTATACAGTGCATCCCCGCGGACATCTCGAGCAGTCCTGCCAAGTCCGCGGACAAGGAGCCCCTCGGCCAGGACAAGCCCTCGAAGAGCCCGAGGAGGGAGGTCGAGGTACAGACTTATCAGGAGTCGAAAGCGGTCCAATGCAGCGATGACGAGATTTTAGAGGCCGAGTACATCGGAGGTGGTTACCGGACAAGATTCCAGAGCAGACCGTCCAGCTACGTGTCACAGCAGTCGGAGAGCTCGGCATCGTCCGGCTCCTACACCAAGGTACCGACAGTCGCGTTCGTCGACGAACCGGTCGACATGACGGTCACCCAGAGGGACCATGACGGCAGCGTCGGCTGGTCGAAGCACTGGGGACCAGAGAGGCTGGTCGAGATCTACAGGGAACCGAAGACCAGCCTGGGTCTGAGCATCGTCGGCGGAAAGGTGCGTAACACGCAACACGCCTACATTGTGTAGTTAAAAATAAAATGTTAGGTCGCGCCTCCGCGACCCGTGGGCTTCCATGACAGGCAAACTTCGGATCTAGTCGCGCGACGTTGCTTTCGGTCGATCGCGCCAATCGTACAGAGTAAGTCGGTATAGTTCATCGAATTTGTTCGGAATGGGTGCGAGGGACGTTTTTGAAATTTTTCTAGCCGAGAACAGAAACGGTTGGTTAACGCCGAGCTCGATTATTGACATTTTTTTAGAGGAACAATTTTCGTCTCTTACAGACCTGGCCAAATTTTATTTGAAATGAAAATAAGAAATAACTGTTTGGAATAGTTCACTTTAAACAGTTATTTTCAGTGCTGTTATTTAAAGAATAATAGCGACTTTTAGAATAATAGTAATTTCAAACGATGAATCATTTCTTCGCGTTTCTAGTTCAAATACGACAAAAGAAATAATCCTGAAAGTAATATGGAACGGAAAGATTTTATTTTACGGCTCAGTGCTGATAATTAGGTCGTCCTATAATTTCCAAGAAGTATTTCACGATAATTTTAAGTAATAATTTCGAGTAATTTTTGAAATCAGAAAATAAAATAACTTGTTTTTTGAAATAATATTTTTAGTTATTTTTAGTGCTTGGTGATGCTGTAAATCTGTTTTAATAAGCTTCGTTTAAAGGTTCCAGAAATAGATTTCCAAGCAAGTGATTAAGATAATTAGTATTAAAATTTTCATAGCAACTGCCCTCCGTCGAGATCCGATAAGCTCCAGCCCGCTGGATTAAGATAACGTATCTCTGAGCAAACGAACAATCTCAATTTGCCGTCTTTTTTAACGACAAAGTTGCGGAGCACCTGTTCAACATGTATAATTATTTGTTATGCGAATCTGAATCAATTAATTTGCATGGAGATGAATTCGTATCTAAGTTGACTTATTTGTATCAAGGACATCGAAAAGCACTATCAATTCGCCATCGTTTTGCAACAATGTATTGTCTTGTATTAAATTGCAACTGCATTTTTAAATAGATCAGCACACAACTGATTGGCACATGCAATAAAATAAAGATAATTGTTCAAATAGATTTCAAAATCTGTGTTCGATTAAATATTGTATGCTTCGTAACGAATTTATATTTTGCACGGCCAAACGGTGGACAATGTTGCTTCGCTTTTCTTGAACGCTCGAGCTTATTGAGACCGTATGACTAATAACAATTATCGGGCTCTGTTCTTCGGCATTCATTAACTCTGCACGTCTACGTACGTCGAGCTCTGAACTGCTAATGGCGCAACGTTGATGACATTGGTTGATAATTTCGAGTCGAGTGATAAATGCTCTATACGCGACGTACAAAGTTGCACCGGCTACGAGTGCATTAACGTACCGAATGGCTTCGAGGCACGGGGAACGACTGTGTAACTCCGTAACGTAATAAAGTTGTCGCTATTGATTCTTCCGCTTCGATGATGCATCCAAAAATTACGTTCGATGTGTCATACCTTTTGCATTTGCATCTTAATAATGCAGCACGACGCGACGCGTTGATCGATCGATGTTTTCTTTTAGATTCGGCTACCAGACACGGTGCTTCATTAGTGAATTATCTAGTTTCTGTTGTAGACATTTTTAGAATTAATTTCTTATTGATAATTGAACGATTGCCGAATTTACAATCGCAGACTTTCTTCGAGAAGCTGACATTTGTGATATTAGTTGCAACAGAAATTAACCTTGCAATTTATCTTAAGCCAAATAATTTTTTTTCTTTCACGTAAACTAGAGAATTGTTTAGAGAAACTGGATGTCGCTACTACGTTTTTTCATTTCATCCATTATCCAGCGAAGCTTCGCAGAATTTATGGATTACGAGAAATTGTCAAAAAAGTCGAATAGAAACTTGTTTCTTCTATTTGATTAAGTTAAGAACAGAATGTATCTGAAAATCTTGCGACGTTTCCACTATTTTACATTTCGCGCACTTATTTATGTCATAATTAGACTGCGGAACTTTATGCGAAATAACAACTGTCTGAGTCGATTATAAGAAACGTAAATTACGTAAAAATGTCTTTTCTCTTTTAATAATTCCTCGTTAATAATTGTAATAAGTTGAAAATAACGTACCAACGTCCTGAAATTTATCTAACGTTTTTACATTTTTCTCAGAAATACATAAAAATCGCAGTCTAATCGCAATGCATGAATTTCGCAGTCTAGTAATAGTACTATAGTGTGCATTCTGTTGTAATATCGGACAAATTCAGCGAATGAATTTTTTCCTTGCTAATGAAAGTTGCTTAAAGTTCTTAAGTCTTACTTATCCCGTATGCGTGAGACATTTTCAGGAAAAATATTGTGGAATCCTGCTTTGACGGTGTCAAATTTAGGACATCTGTTACACGAGATTGATATCTATGTTCCAGGTCGATCTGCACAATGGCAGTTCTAGTAAGTCTCAGAACATATCTGGGATCTTCATAAAGAATGTTTTGCCCAACAGTCCGGCTGGGAGGACCGGCGAATTGAAGGTAACCTATTGCCTCCATCTTCCACTCGCGTTCAACAATGCTAAATAACCAAGAAAGTTAGCGTCGAGATAGTAGATAAACAAGTTAATAATCGTTAAGTAAGTCGTTCATTAACACATTGACGGCCGCGCCGAAAACATCTCAAAATTGCATAGCATTAAAGTATTTGAATCAATTAAATTAAACTTGCAAAGCAAAGTTATACGACATCGCGATTACTATTTCAACATTCTTACCTCTTGCGAATCTTAATAAAATTAAGAAATTTTTATGGATTAGCATAGAAATTAAATTTTAAACGATTTCATCGCCCGCACACGGGTGACACGGCAGTCAAAGTGTTAAATAAGAGCATCATTATATTCGAGCCGATATAAACACACTTTTAATAGATGGTGCACCTGAAAAGCAATCATCTAAATATCTGTTTCAATTGCGATGGTATAAACATATATTTTTTCCGACGATAATCATTCGATAGGGCGTCCCAAAATTATGGTATTTCCGTGAAATAAGGGGTTGCCGAGATCATTTGAAGTAACTTTTTCCTTAGCGAAAATGCAATCCGCGTCTTCGTTTACGAGTTATTGACGAAAAACAGTGACCAATCAGAGGCGAGATCATTTGGCGCGAGACGGCCGAGCCAATGAGCGGAACTGGGCTCCGTGCACTCGTTGGCTGGGCCGTCGCGCGCCAGCCAAGCTCGCCTCTTATTGGCCAGTGTTTTTCGTTAATAACTCGTAAACGAAGCCTCGGACAAAATTTTTGCAAAGGAAAAAGTTGCTTCAAATGACCTCAGGATTGCGAGACATTTTCGGGACACCCTGTAGATGCAACCTCATTTTTCACCTTTACCTCGCTTATTTCTCTCCCGACTGCACATAATCCTTTGTCCAATAACGACAGGACCTAGAGGCGACGCTATCTTTCTCGGTTACTTGACATATATATAATCGGTCTCGACGGAAGCAGAGACGGGAAAGCATTTGCTAGAGACGGCCGACAACAATCGAAGAATTTAACGCTTGTGTCTCTCTGTTCCTGCGTCCACTTCCAGGTTGGGGACCGGATAATCGAAGTCGATGGCGTGGACCTGCGACACAGCACGCACGAGCGAGCGGTCGAGGTCATACAAGCCGCCGGAAATCCCGTCTGTCTTCTCGTCCAATCTCTGGTGCACCTGGTGAGACCTCGCCACGACCAGGAATATCGATGTGCTACTCTTTCCCCGTTGTTCCGATCCCGTCATTTTTTGTTCACGTTTTTCCATCTTACTGTTGCTGAACCAGCCGCACATATTCGCCTCCTCGCACTGATCGATAGTCTGCAACCGGGTGCAAAACAAGTGGAACGACTAGAAAATATACAGGGTATCGATGATGAACGTGGCTTCTTCGTGGAGGTTCAATGACACGAGGGGCCGCAAGCTTCACATTCACAGCGGAGAAATGCTTTCGTTTAGAATGATTTAAGGCGACTGTTTTGCTTCAGACGAGATCGCCCTGTTTCAGACTTAGATTTTCTATTTTATGATGTGGAGAAATAACGGTGATTCGCGAAAAACGAATGGACAAATTAACGCAGAATAACGCAAAATAACGCAAAATAACGCAAAATAACGCAGGACTTGCACTAACACACTTTTCTTATGTTTTTACAATAACGAACTAGTCATTTCTTGCTACTTTTAGTCTTGCCGATTATTCTTTAAAGTATTTGATATACTTGTACCAAAAATTACATTAACCCTTTGCACTATGTCACGTTCTAAGATCATTTTTACATTGTCGAAGTTTAGATTTTAAATATTATTAAAACTATAACTGTTGCATGAATAATGAGACGCAATTTCGTATGCATAAAATGCACTTTGTCGTATAACATAGAAATACTGTAAGTCAGAAGAATTATTTTAGATTGACTGTTAAAATGGCTTTGAGTGCAAAGGGTTAAAATAGTCTCGAGTGCAAAGGGTGCAAAACCAATTGGAATCAAGTGTATACTCACAGATCGTGTTGAATTAGCTTTCAAACGATTTAAAAAAAAAACTCGAACGCTTCTTCAATTAGTGACACAAAAAAGTAACAGTATTTGTTAATACCCCATCGCGTCATTTAATTTCCAAGAAAAACTGTTTCGTGTTCTGCGAAGCTTTTGAAGAGTCGCACAAGATACCCTTGTATAACTTGGTACATATACGTCTGTTTTACGACTTTCCAGTGACTCCCGGTTTATGGGTGTACAGTTCTCTTTTCTATCGAGCCCGCTATGTGTCCTATTGTGCTTCCTACGGTTTCTTCATAACCTCTCCCCACTTGTTTACTTTCTAGCCACCGTCCCGACTTATTTATTTTTCCCTTTCGTGTGCTCGTACTACAAATCTTCTTCAAATCTTTCGCACTTTTTGTTTGCTTGCACGTTTCGCCTGTTTCTGCTCAGGCTGCTTTAAACCGGAAGATCGACTGGAAAAAATGTACAGGGTGTCTCAAATGCGATTCCCAAAATAACTTCTTCAATTGTCTTCTTCTCTTTAATCGTCACACAACGGAAAATGTTCTGCGCGTAATTAGGATGTTCTTGAATAACGCACAGTGATTTTCTGTCAAATAACTATACGTTTCTTTCAAATTACTGTGTTAACATTAGATTTACGAACACACACAAAAAACAACTGCTTAAAATCAGGTTATAAAAGTAACAATAAGACATTTTTTCTGATTTTTAAAAAGTGTTATTGTAACATTTGCCGTAAGTAACATATAGATTGAATAAATAACTCGTAAATGTATCTCTACGATATGAATAATCGTAAATTGAAAAAATTAGTGATCCGTCATTTTGACGGGTTCCGTAAATCTAATGTTAATAACTACATTTTGCATCGCGTGCGTTACGAAGAGATACATTCAAATGTGTGTTACGCCGTGACTTTCAAACGACCTTGGAAATAGCAGCTCCTGCTGGATACTGGCTACATAAAGTACGCATGAAATATTTGTTGCTTCGTCACAAGTAAAGAAAATACTTCACGGGTCGCGCATAAGTGAGACGAACGTACAGATTCAATTTTTCAGTATTTTTTTGAACTAGTGTGAACATCAATGTTCAGGGATATCATGTACTTAATTATGAAATATTTGCGAACAGAATGTACGAATACTTTGATAAGATAATTTGAATTGTTCGTAGACAACAATTGGAATATAAAAATTATATTAGCAGAGTTAACGATCGATTTAAGAGATCGACGCTTACTTAGTTCTGTGTTTTTTTTTTATTTCTGAAAGCGTATACTTTTTCTGTTATCAGAAGATAATCTTTTAAATGAAAAAATCTATTGAAGCGAAGAGGAGAAAATCAATCGAACAATAGATTATTGTTCTACGATCGAGCAAAGTTCCACTATTTTGTACCTTAATGTAGAATATATCTTTAATAGTCGGACATAATCGTGTAGAATAACATGTCCATCGAATTTTAGATCGTTGCGAAAATTCTATGTGCATGAATTTTCTAGTAAAAAGAAATATTTTCTGCCGAAATAAATATTAAGAATAATCGAGTAATTTGAAAATTAAGAACCGGTATCAAGAATCAATAAAAATTATGTTTGAGCAGAATTTACGCAACCGTCTGAAATTTGTTTTACTCTGTACACAGTAATCTTAGTTTCCATGAAACGAAGTAATAACTTATTTAACAAGGCTAATTCTAGTCACGTTCACTGCCGTTGTCAATTTTTAGTTACCTATTTCTCTTTTTTGCTAGCGCCAAAATAAAAATTAAATATAGTTTTGCTTCATTTGCTTTGAAATATAGCTTAGCAAATTTCGTAGTCGAACCTTTAAAATAATAAGGATTTTTATAAGTTTCCCAACACAGTACAATGCAAGAAAATTACAGATTTACAAATTACGAATTAAAAACTGTTCATAAATGTGTGTTCATAATTTGTAAACAGCATTACATTCGTCGTTTAATTAAAAATCTTTCCGAGGTATCTCTGTCGCGGGAGGTACTTAATCAATTATAACATCTCAAAGATGTTGCGTCACACTTCTATCATAAAAGAGATATAAACTGTCCACGTGACAATGTCACGTACTCTCGCAAGAACTGTAATTATAATAATTATTATGGTCACGATACTAACGTCTTCGTAATACTAAAGATTAAATAGAGAAAACTTCTTTTCTATTTAAAGAAAAGTTTTGTTTTTGTTTAAAAAATTATTGCAAACAATAGCCTCCGACGTGCATCTCTGATACCATTTTTCGAGAAACTAACTCTCAAAAAAACGCGTTTAACATTTCTAATACAATTTTTAATTGAACATCGTAAAAATTTGTATGACGCAGTTTAAAGACAGTGCATTCGCACAGCACTATTTTTATGGCGCACAGACGCTTGAAATATATGAAATAAAATAAAAGTGACAACAGTTTCAAAAAATTCAAAAGAATAGGTTTAGAAAGTGTGTGTTGTGGACATTACTTTTTTCCTATATTTGGATTTATATAAATTATTAAATATTATATATTTGGACTTACAAAATAAAGCTTATAAATTTGGACTTGCACAATTTGGCATATAGATAATGTATATTAAACAGAATAAAAATAACAACAGCTTGAAAAATTGAAAAAAATAGGTTCGCAAAGTATGCTGTTTATATTAATTTTCTTCTATATTTCGATTCATGAATTGACTATTTTGCACAGCATATTAGACGCTTAAATATCGTAGTTAAATAGAGTAAAAATAACAATAGCTTGCAAAATTTTCAAAAACATAGATTTAAAAAGAGTGTGATGTTTATGTTACTTTTCTCTCATACTTTGATTTATATGTCGGCCATTTTCCACAGTTTGGCAAACGCTTAAATAGCGTATACTAGATAAAATCAAAATAACAACAGCTTCAAAAATGAAAAAAAACTGGGTTTGAAAAGTGTTTTGCATATATTATTTTTCTCTCGGACTTTGATTTATAAATTGGCCATTTTCCACATACCGGTAAATATTTAAGTAGTATATATTAGACAGAATCAAGATAACAACAGTTCGAAAAATCTGGCTTTAAAAAATACGTTTAAAAGGGCTGTTGTTTGTATTACTTTTCTTTTATACGTTGCCACGCGAATTAGTCGATTCGCAAAATACAACAGATACTTAAATAACGTACATTGAATCGAATAAAAATAACAGCAGCTTGCAAAGTCGAAAGAGAATTGGTTTAAAAATTCTTCGTATTACTTTTCCTCTTCTCGACGTATAAATCGGCAATTTCGCAAGATTCCAAGGGACGAAGTTGAGGGTTGGAAGTCGGGCTTTTTGTCTGCGCACACGCGTGCAGCCATTCGGTATACGCATCATCGGATCCCATAAAGTTGTATGGAACTGCATCGAGACACTTCGCCGCGAGCATATCGATCAATGCATTAAAACTTGGACTGTTCGCCCGTCCCCCCGGTGACATTTTCACTTGTCCCAACCAGCCTTTATATCAAACAGCAAACCACACCCTTGAGACACACCGATACAGTTGCGCCGTTTGTGCGCGCGATACCACCAGGAATCTCGTTTCCTGCGAGGAGACAGATTAGCTCGCCAGGACGAATCCTTGTACACATCCCGGTTTTGTCCTCGCGTCTCCCACCGGTTTCTTCGATTCCTTTTTGCGTCCCCGACGACACGGGATCCGCTGAAACTTTCATTGCGTTGCACGTGAACAGAATTCGCAAACAGCCGGATAGCAGAGCAGCCGAAATCATTCCCCAGGATCCTGGTGTTCTATTTTGTGCGAAGCCAGCAGGTAACTTTCCGACAAAATGCTCCTCGCGATCATCGAGGCAAGGCAGCAAGCAAACGTGACAGAAAGAGTTAATTCGTAAATGCAATGGTTTATCTGTTAACCGAGTGTGACGAAAATATTTCGTTACAGCAAGAAGGCAACTCCAATGGACGTTTTAATTTCGAAAGTAATTATGTAAAGCGCGTTGCATTCGATGTCATTCTTATTCATGGAATCCTAGTGCGACCGTACGGTAACACTTTGAATTTCCGCGGTTTAGTTTCAAACAACACTGCAACGTCTTCTTTATATATAGTAGACTGAGGGTATACTAAACAAAACACAGTATAATATATTATATTATATTATATTATATTATATTATATTATA